TATATTAATAATATTGAAGATAATGAGGTTGTGTTAAAGTTGAATTAAATTTTGAATATGAATTGAGCATGAATTAGATAAATTTATAAACAAACACATCCTAATATTTAACTGTGACATTATGGGTGCGATTGGATATGATTCCAACCGGTTTTGTTTGGTTAAAGTGAGTTATTTTCAATGAAATAGATTGAGCGGATGATTTTGAATTTGAAATAAAACTATATTTAAAATATATAATAATTAAAGTTGATGTGATATAAATGTATGTGAGATTATGAGAAATGATAGATAGGTAAAATTATGTGAGTGAATGAACATAGTATTAAAATTGACGTAATGTTTGAGAATTATTGATTGATATTATTTAATTATATTTATAAAAAGTATAAGAATTGTGTTGAGTTGAATTTTGATTTAGATGACTGAATATAAAATAACTTAACTGCTTATAACCAGTTAAAATTGATCACAACTCATGTCCAATCACTCCTTATACGAACTTAATAAGAATTTATGTTTAGCAGTAGTAGTAGAGCAGTTAAACATGAGCCGCTCGTTAGCTCGGCTCGTCTAGTTCATCTTGAGTTCTTTTTATAAACAAATCAAACTCAAGCTTGTTTACTGTTAGTTGACTCCAAAATAGTGACCTTATGCTATTTTATATAGCTCGATCGGCTTGAGTTTGGCTCGATCTCGATTTGTTAATATTGATGTACGAGTCAAATTCAATGTCATTGGTATCGGCTAATTTTATTAACCAGTCGGACCCAGTTCGACTAGATAAAGGTTTGGGCCCGACTTTGAATTTTAGAAGTTCAAACTCGACTCAACTCATTTACACCTGTAGCTATTATTCCACAACAAAAACTTTCTTTTTCTTTTTGTTTTTTCAACAAATAAGATACCTACATCAATCTATATGGATAAAAACCAATGGTATACTGGAGTAGTGGAATCAGAAATGAGAAAACCCATCAAGCATATGACAAATAGCCATAAAGATTAAAGAGTCCCTCATATGGAGCCTTCGATTAATATAGTAAGCAAAAATGTGG